AGCTCATTCTACACGCCAAGGTATTGGTCCAGTGTGGGTAGATTGGTAAAGCACTGCGTACCTTGTCCTAAGGTTCGTAGGTTCGAGTCTCCTTCAGCCAGAGATCAGTGTTTGTGTATATTTCGCATGCTCTCGCGAATTCCTTGCATTGTTCAAATCTCTAGTAAGGCTGATGCATGCAGGGGATGAGATGAAAAGCTGTAAGCCTTCTCCTGAAAGCTGGCTGCCTTGGATCAAACGTGTAGCTCATGCTACACGCCAAGGTATTGGTCCAGTGTGGGTAGATTGGTAAAGCACTGCGTACCTTGTCCTAAGGTTCGTAGGTTCGAGTCTCCTTCAGCCAGAGATCAGTATATTATATATATATATATAATATATATATATATTATATATAATATATATATATATATATATATATATATATATGCAAAACAATCACTGTGAAAGAATACAGAAATTCCAAGCGCTTTCGTGACTACTCACATTATCAAGGAACAATAAGGGTAATGCATCAAAGGAAGGCATATAAAGGGTCTAGCCCACACCTCACTATCACATCCCACAACAAAGCAACACCTGACGCGCGACTCACAAGAAAGGGAACACTGCGGCAGGCCCGCTGGCCCAACTAGACAGGTCCTTAACACAACCCACCGACAAACTATTCTACCCAAGAATTAAAAATTTTAAAATTTATTATTTGTCCAGTGTACTACTAAATTCTTCCCAAATTCTATTAATTACAAATGGATCTAATTTATACAAACCAAAGGAAATATTCATAATATTGTCAAAACTGCTTTTTATGAAACAAGATTCAATTATATTCCTGTCGACCATGGACTTGATTGATACAACTTTTTCAGCTTTTTGAAAATCAATTGAATGGTTAAAAGCTCTTATATGAATAAATAGAGCAGTGGAATCTTGTCCAGTTCTAACGCTATATTTATGTTGTTTTAATCTTAGTTCGAGACTTTTACCATTCTGACCGTAATAAACTTTATCACAAATTTGACAAGGAATCTTATAGACACATCCGTCAGCATTTTGTGGGGAATTCTTTATCAAAAGTTATTTTACTGTAACAAGATTTTTAAATACAACTTTGATATTAAAAGTCTTAAGAAGAGAAGGCATATCAACCAAGTTTTCATGGTAAGGGAGAACCAACATATTTTTAGTTGAATAAGGCTGGTTGGCCCTTGTGAGGGAAAAGTTCAATAGATAGGAGTAGTAAGGGAGTATATAGTAACAATAGTTTCATTGCCGGCTACTTGTTAAGGTAGGGTAAGTCCAGCTCCCGCTATTTCCCCCCTTTTTCCCCCTCCCTGAAAGTGATGGTTTGATTGCCAGCTGCTTGTTAAGGTAGGGTCAGTCTAGCTCCCACTATCCCTTCCCCTCCCTCTTCCCCCCCACCCCGAAAGGTGACGTGTGGGGCTCCGGTCAAACAGTAAATCACTCGACTCACAGCTCCCAACACTTCTGAAAGTACACGCCTGATCATATTTTAGTGGACTCATTGGTTGAAAGCTTTACTTTTGACCAATAATTAACTTAGTCCTTTCAGTCTTTATCTGTTAAATGTTTTAATAATCACCACATCTTTTAGGTATTGTGCTTAGCATGGAGAGTGATTTCTTAAGCAGTGGGTAATCTGTCTCTCTTTACAGCTTGGATATATATATATATATATATATATATATATATATATATATATATATATATATTTATATATATATATATATATATATATATATATTAATGTCGTGCCGAATATGTAAAACTGGTCAATTAGCAAGAACTCATTTAAAATTAAGTCCTTTCTAAAATTTTCTCTTATACGTTTAAAGATATATTTTTTTCATTAATGTTAATGTAAAAATTTTTAATTTTCCTCCAAAAGAATCTTAGAAAACTTACCTAACCTTATTATAACAAGAACAATTTATTTTAGCCTAACCCAACTAAATATATTTTAGATTTGTTTACAATAATTTAATACTAAACAAACACAGCAAAAGATATTTTTTCGTTAATTTCAGAATGATTTTTGCGAAATTATTGCACATTCAAATTTTCGCTTGTCCTATGCGGCAAGATGAGCGTTGCTATTTAAGCCAAGATCGCAAGTTCTGCCTATTCGGCACGACATATATACAATATATTTATATAAAATATAATATTAAATATATAAATATATATATATATAATTATATATTTTATATATATATTTGAAACAGTAAATTAATTGACAACTGTGGGTTTGCCCGAATCAATATTGGAAATATCGAGACAAGCGTTAATGTGCCAAGAATTAGTTAAAAACCTTTAATGTGCATAGAAAGGCTAAGTGAAAACCCAATTTAATGAACGTTTTTTAATTATTAATTTCCAACTGTAACCATATTTTTTTTTTTACTATGTATCAAACTCATCCCATGACATTCCAGTTCAGACTATTAAGGTCGTCCAAATTTGTGGATAAATTTTATTTAATTTAAAGTTTTTTTCAAATTCCACAATTTTATCTTTGAGGATAAATACGCATGATGTTCATAATTCGGCTCTAGACGATGTAATTATAATTTTTGAAAAGCTAGTTTCAAATCAGTTTAGAAGTCACATTCGACACAATGGACCATATTTCAGAAATGTTCAACTTTTTCATGTTGTAGATCTTTCTTGAAAATACATCCTACTTAAAAAACTAGTAACCTTGCATTGTTATCATTCAAAGGTCACGCTTCACACAAATAGAAATTTTACGCGGTGTTTTCTGTTCTCAGAGAAGAAAGCCACCTCATGTACACCCGGGGTAGCCGGACGAGCACAGCGTACCCGAACGATGCCAGTAAATACGGGATCCAGTGTCATCACACCCCAGGGGTCCGCCAGAATCACCCTGACATGGGGTCCTTTCCTCCCTCTGCAACCCACGAAAATCATGGAATCAGAAACGTCATCCACACTATAGTCATCGGGGCATTCACTGTCTGACACGAGAGGACAGTCACTTTCCGGGCAAGTTTTTGGGGGAGTGTCTCCTCCCTCTTCTAAGGTACCCCGCCTGTGACGACGCAGTCACCAGAGGCTTGGGACCCTGTTGGGGAAGTGCAATTACATCGACGTATTGCTGAAAGTAACAGGCGTAGCTAGTTGAAGAGGGATATGTCATTATAAAGGTAATATGCATTGAAATCCTCGTGAAGAATGATTTTAGACAGAAACAGATGTTTGTTCATTGCCGTCGTTTACAGAATGTCGTGTTCACCCGCCACAACATGAGAAAGAAAAAGAAATAAATATAATTAGTTTGTGAGATATTAAAATTCAACATCCTCATCACGTCACTGAAAAAAAAGACTAGCAACTTAACATATGTACTATTTAAAAGCTTGATGCATTGGTAAATAAATTTTGAATTCAGTCTTTTACCTAGACAAGGTCACACATTCTGAATGTTGTCCTTTCACCTTCAGTCATATCATTTACCAAACTGCGATAGGCCAGGATTCGACCCCACGACACACTGTCCCGCCTCAAGAGGTCACACAATGTACATGTCACCCTTTTCATCTGAGCCATCGATCCTAAAACAACATGAGCCTAGCGAACTAGGGTTGTTTTTTGTTGCGAGGACACTAGTAGTAGATGTATCCTCAAGGATTGATTTCAGCCTCCTACTCTTTGAACACCCGCCTCCACAAGCAATCCATATAGCAATGAAACCAAGAAACAAGTTCGCTCGGCTCATGTTGTTTGAAGGATCAATGGCTCAAATGGTATGGTGACATGTTTATTGTGTGGCCTGTTGAGGCGAGACAATGTGTCGTGGGGTCGAATCCTGGCCTGCCGCTTTTGGTAAATGATTCAAAATCACTTGCTTCGTGGGCTCACTTATATATATATATATATATATATATATATATATATATATTTATTTTTTATATATTTATATATATATATTTATATATTTTATATATATATATTGTGTGTGTGTGTGTGTGTGTGTGTATATATAGTAGGCGGTAAACAGCAACCCCCCAGGGAGGCACTACGTCCTGCCAAGTGAGTGTACAACGAAAACCTGTAATTGTTTTACATGATGGTAGAATTGGTGGTGTCTTATGTCTGTCTCATAAACATGCAAGATTTCAGGTATGTCTTGTTACTTTACTTGCAATTAGGTCACACTACACATACATGTACAAGCATATATATAACCCCCCTCTGGGTTTTCTTATACTTTCTTTCTAGTTCTTGTTCTTGTTTTTTTCCCTCTTATCTCCAGGGGGAAGGGGAACAGAATTCTTCCTCCGTAAGCCATGCAAGTTGTAAGAGGCCACTAAAATGCCGGGAGCTAGGGGCTAGTAACCCCTTTTCACGTATAAATTACAAAATTTACAAAAGAAAAATTTCGTTTTTCTTTTTGGGCCACACTTTCCTTGGTGGGATATGGCCGGTGTGTTGAAAGAAAGAAAAATATTATATATATACATATACATACATTATATATATATATATATAATATATATATATATATATATTTATATATATATATATATATTATATATATATAAGACAAGCCACGGGGGGTGGTGGAAATCTTTAGCTCAAGTACTTCACACTTCTCAGTGCATCTCAGGAGCTACGCAATGTTGCAAGGCAGCAACTGAAGCAGGGGAAGTTTCCTCAGTGTAGCGCAGTGCGGGTCAGTCACCGCCGCAACTTTCAGAATTTTCTCGGATTCTGAGAGAAGCTGCCCGCCAGTGACAGACCCGCACTGCGGGTAGGACATACCCTTAGCTATGGGACTAGTCGTGTTGCAGACCTTTGCATTTTCTCTAGTTTCCTTACGTGCTTGGATAAGTGTGGGTTCCAAACTTGTGCTGCATGCTCCAATATGGGCCTAACGTAACGGTTTTACAGGGTCCACCTGAACGATTCCTTATTAAGATGTCGGAATGCGTTTTATGGGTTTTCTAGGCGCCCGTATGTTGAAACAGTTATTTGGTTGATGTGCGCCTCAGTAGATATTCCAGGTGTCATAGTCAATCCAAGATCCTTTTCCTTGAGTGAGGTTCTTAGTCTCCGGCCCCCTATACTGTACTCCGTCTGCGGCTTTCAGTACCCTCCCCAAGTCTTCATGACTTTGCACTTAGTGTGGTTGAACTCCAGGTGCCAGTTGTTGGACCAGGCCTACAGCTTGTCCAGATCCCTTTGTAGTTCTGCCTGATCCTCATCCGAATGTATTCTTCTCATCAACTTCACATCATCTGCAAACACGGACACTTCGGAGTCTTTTCCTTCCGTCTTTTCGTTCACAAATACCAGAAACAGCACCGGTCCTAGGACTGACCTCTGTGGAACCAAGCTCGTTACGGGCTCCCACTCTGACACCTCACCACGTACCATTACCCGCTGTTGTCTTACTGACAGGTATATATACCAGCTTCCTCCACTGAGTAATCAGTGTCACAACATATTAATATAATGTATCTATATAAATTAGAGTAAACTATAATTAGAGTATTTAAACTCTCTATAATGTACGCCCCCTTTATATGTGAAATAATACACGACTTACCTGAAGATAATCTGGATTGTTAAAGTCTTCACCGTAGACACAATGACCAGCAGAGATGGCCCAGTCCTCCTTGTATAGGGAGGCGCCACAGAAGTGCCACGCATCACCGTAACTGATGTCTTGGAAGCTCAGACTGATAAGGAAACTCACCAGGCTCACATCGGTGCCTCCCACGATCTTGTAGTTACCTAAACTGAACCTCAGCTTGTGCGATGGAGCGGCTGTGAGAAAAATAGTCGAGATTTTAAATTCTTGCTTCAATATGGAGTGACCTTGACACCTGTGATTTAGCACTTGATGTAAGGAAATGGAGCAACCTTTCACTTACTCGTCTTACTGGATCAAAACTGATTTCTCCATAGGGGTTTAGCGCGTGTTTCTAAATGTATAATAATGCCAAATTTACTCATTAACTCCTCGTAATTAGTGTTTTTGTTGTAAAATACAAAAAGATCAAAATTCAATAGTGATTATATTGCAGTGCAGGTTTAAACATCATTGACGGTGTTTACAGAGGGAACTCACCGAGCGCTCCAGCGAGGAGAAGGCAGAACACGAAGGTCTTCATGGCTGGTCTCTGGTGAAGAGTCATATTCCCCGCCACCATTTATACTCACCACAACCTCCTTATCTTATAAATCAATTCTCTCTCTCTCTCTCTCTGTCTCTGTCTCTCTCTCTCTCTCTCTCTCTCTCTCTCTTTTTTTTTACACAGGGTTTGACAAGGTTAACGATCCCTAGCTTTATTGACAGCTATTTACAGGTTAAGGATTCCTAACTTTATTGGCAAGCTAAGAGCTGTTACCTACATCAGCTCATTTGAAAGCATTTTTATTGTTATGAGACATACAAGTAGGAAACAGGATGAAGTTGGAGCCATCTGTGGGCCAGCATTTCCATTTGATCAACTGACTTTATCTCATTGACATCATTATCCTGTACGAATGTGTTCCATACTCGAGTCATCCTGGGTATGTATGATCTCAGATGGAGTGATTTTCTGGAGAAGGGTACAGCCAGAGTGAAGTTGCTGCTTTCTCTGCCGTCCTGGTGGCATAAAAGCTTGTTTCACGCTGTCCTCGAAGTGGATCCAGTGTGGTATTTTGACAATATTGGCCTTGTACATAACAGTAAGGCCACCCACATCCCTCCTATGTTGAAGGCTCTGCTGAAATGACAGATCTATCCAGGATGGGTCCAGGCGAGAGATGAGACGTCTTGCTCTGTTCTCTACTCTGTCAAGCAGTCGCAGATGAGAGGGGGGCAGGCAAACCGAGAAAGTGGAGCATATTCAAGGAGCGAGCGTACTTGTGCCTCGTACAGGATCTTGCAACACCTACTGTCAAGCAGATGGGAGATATGGCGAAGTGCTGTAAGCTTCCTGACTGCCTTGTTTGCAAGATTTACAACATGGTTCTTCATGGTTAGTTTGGTGTCAAATTTCACCCCAAGGATATCAACTTCTTCTCCAGGTGCCAACATCCTCCCATTCATGCTTACTACTGCAGCAGCACTACCATCATGGTGCCTAGAGACGATCATCATTTGCGTTTTCTCAGGTGCAAATGTTACTTGCCATCTATTTCCCCAAGCTGATATAGCTCTCAGCTGGTGATTGATGTAGCTTAGAGCAGCTGGCATTTCTTCTCTTGGATAAGTGAATGTCAGTGTACAGTCGTCTGCATATGCATGTGATTCTGGGATGAGATGAAGAAGGTCGTTGAAGTAGACATTCCATAACAATGGACCCAGCACGCTTCCTTGTGGAACACTTGCCCCCAATAGGATGTCTTGCTGATTCCGTTCCATTGAGAACTACACTTAGAGATCTACCATGAAGGTAATCACTGAGGAGACATAGCGTAGAGCCTGCAATTCCCAGTGCTTGAAGTTTTGCTAAGAGGCCCTGGTGCCACACCAGGTCAAAAGCGCCAGCAATGTCTCTCTCTCTCTCTCTCTTATATATATATATATATATATATATATATATATATATATATATATATATATATATATATATATATATATATATGAAAAGGGAAATTCGCGAGAGCATGCGAAATATACACAAACACTGATCTCTGGCTGAAGGAGACTCGAACCTACGAACCTTAGGACAAGGTACGCATGCTTTACCAATCTACACACACTGGACCAATACCTTGGCGTGTAGCATGAGCTACACGTTTGATCCAAGGCAGCCAGCCTTCAGGGAGAAGGCTTACAGCTTTTCATCTCATCCCCTGCATGCATCAGCCTTACTAGAGATTTGAACAATGCAAGGAATTCGCGAGAGCATGCGAAATATACACAAACACTGATCTCTGGCTGAAGGAGACTCGAACCTACGAACCTTAGGACAAGGTACGCAGTGCTTTACCAATCTACACACACTGGACCAATACCTTGGCGTGTAGCATGAGCTACACGTTTGATCCAAGGCAGCCAGCCTTCAGGGAGAAGGTTACAGCTTTTCATCTCATCCCCTGCATGCATCAGCCTTACTAGAGATTTGAACAATGCAAGGAATTCGCGAGAGCATGCGAAATATACACAAACACTGATCTCTGGCTGAAGGAGACTCGAACCTACGAACCTTAGGACAAGGTATGCAGTGCTTTACCAATCTACCCACACTGGACCAATACCTTGGCGTGTAGCATGAGCTACACGTTTGATCCAAGGCAGCCAGCTTTCAGGGAGAAGGCTTACAGCTTTTCATCTCATCCCCTGCATGCATCAGCCTTACTAGAGATTTGAACAATGCAAGGAATTCGCGAGAGCATGCGAAATATACACAAACACTGATCTCTGGCTGAAGGAGACTCGAACCTACGAACCTTAGGACAAGGTATGCAGTGCTTTACCAATCTACCCACACTGGACCAATACCTTGGCGTGTAGCATGAGCTACACGTTTGATCAAAGGCAGCCAGCTTTCAGGGAGAAGGCTTACAGCTTTTCATCTCATCCCCTGCATGCATCAGCCTTACTAGAGATTTTAACAATGCTAGGAATTCGCGAGAGCAGGCGAAATATACACAAACACTTATCTCTGGCTGAAGGAGACTCGAACCTGCGAATCTCGGAACAAGGTATGCAGTGCTATACCAAACTTACCACACTGTACCAAATACCTTGGAGTCCAGCTTGCGCTAGACTTTGATCCAAGGCAGCCAGCTTTCAGGGAGAAGGCTTACAGCTTTTCATCTCATCCCCTGCATGCATCAGTCTTACTAGTGTGAGGAAAAAGTTCAATAGATAGGAGTAGGGAGGGAGTGTATAGTAACAATAGTTTCATTGCCGGCTACTTGTTAAGGTAGGGTAAGTCCAGCACCCGCTATTCCCCCTCCCCTCCTTTTCCCCCTCCCCGAAAGTGATAGTTTGATTGCCGGCTGCTTGTTAAGGTAGGGTCAGTCTACCTCCCGCTATCCCTTCCCCTCCCTCCCCCCCCCCTGCCGAAAGGTGACGTGTTGGGCTCCGGTCAAACAGTAAATCACTCGACTCACAGCTCCCAACACTACTGTAAGTACACGCCTGATCATATTTTAGTGGACTTATTGGTTGAAAGCTTCACTTTTGACCAATAATTAACTTAGTCCTTTCATTCTTTATCTGTTAAATGTTTTAATAATCACCACATCTTTTAGGTATTGTACTTATCATGGAGAGTGATTTCTTAAGCAGTGGGTAATCTGTCTCTCATTACAGCTTGGAATGACAGAGAGGGTCACCTGCCAACCAACGAGAAGAACAGAAGAAGACGGACTAACGTCCTGAGACGTCCCATGTTTAGTCTACTTACCTGTTATATAAACCAACACAGGACCCAACCCCTCATCATAGCAGTGGTAACGAACCTGTTTTCCTGTCATCTGAAGTAATTACACACGGCTATACTCTGTGAAGAACGAGCCACTGGTAGTCACCAACACCTGCTACCCCCTCCCCCCACATCAGCAACGGCTACGATTTCAACAACACGCAGTGTCACCAACACCTGACACCCCATTACCACGATATACCTATATTAGCGTTGAGTTCAAATGCAATTTTTTTTATTTCATTTTTCATTTTTCTTTCAATTAGGATACCCATTCATGTTTCATTGTTTTACATTTTCCGTTTCTAAATAATAGTGTTTATCACTGTCTGTTATTATTTCTTCTTCTATTCATTAATTTTCCTGAGGAGGAGCCAGCCTTGGTAATACTGACTGAAGTTGTTACAGGGCTGAGTAAGCCTTCACACTAGAGATTTTAACAATGCAAGGAATTCGCGAGAGCAGACGAAATATACACAAACACTGATCTCTGGCTGAAGGAGACTCGAACCTACGAACCTTGGAACAAGGTACGGAGTGCTATACCAAACTCACCACACTGGACCAAATACCTTGGAGTCCAGCTTGCGCTAGACTTTGATCCAAGGCAGCCAGCTTTCAGGGAGAAGGCTTATAGCTTTTCATCTAATCCCATGCATGCATCAGCCTAACTAGAGATTTTAACAATGCAAGGAATTCGCGAGAGCAGGCGAAATATACACAAATCTCTAGTAAGGCTGATGCATGCAGGGGATGAGATGAAAAGCTGTAAGCCTTCTCCCAGAGAGCTGGTTGCCTTGGATCAAAGTCTAGCGCAAGCTGGACTTCAATGTATTTGGTCCAGTGTGGTGAGTTTGGTATAGCAATGCGTGCCTTGTTCCAAGGTTCGTAGGTTCGAGTCTCCTTCAGCCAGAGATCAGTGTTTGTGTATATTTCGTCTGCTCTGGCGAATTACTTATATATATATATATATATATATATATATATATATATATATATATATATATATATATATATATATATATATATATATATATATATATATATATATATACATGTCGTGCCGAATATGTAAAACTGGTCAATTAGCAAAAACTCATTTAAAATTAAGTCCTTTCTAAAATTTTCACTTATACATTTAAAGATATATTTTTCTCATTAATGTTAATGTTAAAATTTTTAATTTTGCTCCAAAAGCATCTTAGAAAACTTGCCTAACCTTATTACATCAAGAACAATTTATTTTAGCCTAACCCAACTAAACATATTTTAGATTTGTTTACAATAATTTAATACTAAACAAACACAGTGAAACATATTTTTTTCGTTAGGTCCAAAATGATTTTGGCGAAATTATTTCATACTCAAATTTTCGCTTGTCCTATATGGCAAGATACCAACAACTCGACACCTGACGCCTCAAAAATCAGAGCCCAAATTAGCAAAAAAATAGAAGACGGAAGTACCATTGAAGCACTGAGGCTTGTTTCCAGTGAGGATGCCATCACTCCTAAGGACATCATTACAGCACAAGCCCTGAAGGACAAACATCCACCCAGGGCTCCCAGTACCAACATTGACTTCCCTGACATTGGAGCAGGTGAAGAACATTTATCCTTACACGACGATGATGTGGATAAAACTTCTGTTATTTCCAAAGGGCTGTCGAATATTTTATTTTCTAAGTTAGGAGCAGCGCTCTATGACCCTGGTGGGTTTAGCGCTTAGCTTTGATTACAGTAATAGTAATAATAGTATAAAGTTCTCTCACTGTATATAGGCATCGTATATATATATATATATATATATATATATATATATATATATATATATAT